ATTACTGCCTGTTGAGATATTAGAATCATGTTTATCTACCATCCACAGACCCTTGGCCCCGGCAATTCGGCCCTGAAATGCACTAGGAGTGGCCCCAGTAATGCCTAAAGAGTCGCATATCCGGTTGGCTAGACCTCTAGACATCAAAGCGCAACCATCATTCATTACCGGTGAGTTAGGGGGGTCTGCTAGGTGAAGGACCTGTGATGGCTTCAAAGCAACAGTGGCAAGAGTCTTCGAAAGCCCCAATGAGATACGCTGGAAAAGTTTGCAATTTTTCTGCTTTATATTCTCGTCTCGCGACATATGCCAGTCTAACAGAGAGTCCAAGCTCATGGGGGTGTGGTTCTCACTGTTTTGATTCGCGGGCGGTATGGGAGGTACGTGCGGGCTCTTATCAAAGTCCACGCCATCAATTGCAAAGAAGTCCACCCTGAACTTCGGCTCTGCCTTCACTTTACGTTTCGACTTGACCTCTTCCACAAAGAAAGGCTTCCATGTCCTTCCTAAACACCGGTGGACATTCTGTGTCAGCCATAGAGCTATACTTTCTCGTAGAAGAGAAGGTTCAGATGGTAATGGGAAATGGCGCGGGGGGCGCGACGGTGCAGGCATTGTCAAGCTAAGAAATCTGTCGGATCCAAAACGGCGATGAAAGCGACATGTCCTCTCAGTCTTCAATGGATTCAAGTTCAGCTTGAAAATGCCTGGCTCATGTTCGCTGCACCATTCTAAATCGCCTGTGAGGATAACCACTTCTGAATGCTTATCTGTCTCGAAGCTGCCAATAGCGAAATCCCAAGCATTGGTGGTTGGCTTCTCTGGGAGAGGCTTGCCATTGCGTTGGCTATGACCTTTGATCCATCCCCAGAAATCATCGCGCGTTTTGAAGGATATGCTGTTACCAGCCAACATGCGGTCAGAGGGGATATTCCAAGCTCTGGCTATCCTCTCTAACTCGTAGCGGTATCGTAAGGGTAGTAGGCCTGGAAAGGAATATGCTTGTGCAAATGGTCCGTAGTGAAGGAGGTCATCTATCAGTCGCTGCTCAACAGATTCGGGAGGCTCATTAACAACACTCTCGCTCATAAGTTGCGACCTTTCAAGTGCCGTTTTCAACTCTTGGCTAAGCATATGATTCACCACCGAATCTTCGTAGTCTGAGTCGCACATGGGCTCAGTGACATCCGTAATGGTCGATATGAATGAGGTATCAAGTTGGTTATCGCGAGAATCAAAAATAGAAGTTGGCTCGGTAGTTGCGAAACTAACGTTTGGATCGTCATGTGCAGGTGGCACTGCATCGTATCGTCGAAACTGGTCAGGTGCCGTTAACCTCTGGACAAATGCGGATGGTCCCCTTGTATCATTATATTTAGGGCTTTTGAAAACCTGAGCCGGTCCTGCATCTAAACTGCACCCCTCTTCATCATGAGTGTCCTCCACAGTAGATCTGGACTCAGGGTTGTTCACTGGAGAATTTGGGGCGGTGCGGAATTCGTCGTCCTCCTCAGACATCCTTCTTTTCAGCCCTTTCGATGGACTTGATTGCTCTGTGGCTTCTTCTGTGATCCCATCAAGTCCTTCGAGGAAAGGTGAATAGGAACCGTTGGTCAAGATATACAATTCATCCCTGATCAGTTTCGCCAAGTATCTGAGACGCTCGCCTCGCTCCGACTCGGGGACATTGGCATAGCATCCATAGGTGCACGGGTCTCCTTTTGAGCGAGTATTGGAAGGAAAGCTGCCATTGGCCCACACTGATCGAGATGCCACCCACTCCTCGAAGTTGTTGAGAGTCTCATTTAAGTTGACATTCCGATTGTAATGAAGCCGTTTGATGCCCAAATGCACGCGCCATCTGAGTGACTTCCTATCAGGCTCGAGAGATGGTGAGTAGATATGTGGGTTAGGGATATCTAAATCAAAATGGTTGTTAAGTTTGTCTATCAATTGATATAAATCCTTCCCTCTCTTAGGGGTGTGAGGAAACGCCATATCCTCCAAGTGGGCCTTCTGGCGAGGAATTCTGAAAGGGCTGTTTTCCCTCTGTCTAAGCTATGACGGCGTATCAGATGTAAAACCATATTTCGATGTTTCGATTGAGGTAGGCACTGGACCTGATGTTTTGTGGGAACGAATCCTTCACGCACATGTAAACAAACGCACAATGGGTATATTCAAAGCTATCGCCAGAGCTATCGTGGGACTAATTGCCTCTCCATAACCTCCCAGTTTAGGAGCAGTAATCAATACCCCGCAATGGAATGTACGAGGGAAGACAGAAAATCCAGCCTCGCGAGAGACGTAGTGCAAAGCAGACATGGAGGGGGGAGGGAAAAAGTACTGTACCTCAGACAGCGTTTGCAACTCCACCCTTCAACGAATCACGTTGACGCTGGTGGCGCCTTAAGTACCCACAAAAGTCTTAACTGGACTATTAAGTACCTCGATCACTCAACTGACAGTTTTCCTAATCTATTTTATTGCGTTCCGCGTGTTGCCCTGTGAACACCTACCCTGCCCCACTGCCAAGACAAGCCGGGCGTTGAATTTCAGACAATGACAGTTGCTGTTGCTGAGTAGTCAAGTAGGACGACATGAAAGGAGACGCCCAGAGAAGCGAAGTTATTTGAGAAATGATCAAGTATCATCCAATCAATCACGCCTCTTCCTGTACCCCCTGATTTTTAACGAGGCGGACTTTGTTTTTAGGGCTATGTCCCGTATATCTGCCTTTTTACTAGCCAAACGGTGCCTAGGACTTAGGGCTACCGCAGGCAATGCAAGCCTCGCCTAGCTAGTAAGTAGGTAAATGAACGGTCCAGGCAGTTCAAGCAATCCGAGTACATAGATAGGTTAAGCAGGTTGGATAACTGACTAATCCAAGCAAATAAGTAACTAACATATTGAGAATCAGCCTGGTTACCGAATTTAATGGCTTTGCCGGCAATCGGTGTCTTTTGTCTTTTCGCCTTGTTTGACTTAGTTTCAGCTCTGTCTATGCAGGGATTATGGATTCGGCAGCCGAGTCAATAATTCCCTTAATTAGAGGACGTCCCTCCTTTCATGGGTTAGAAACTTCCAAGAACCAGCCTCTTCATCTAGTATGCTACTAATATTCAAGCTCATATAGCCTTCCTAGCGAACTGTCTTATGGGTGACACATGCAGAGACACCGATCAACACTGGAGAGCAAGACTAATCAAAGATGAATCGGAGCCCCATATACATCATTACACCTGCTTACTAAAAATACGATTCCGTAGCAAATAAAGTGTGCCAGTTGTATAACAAGCTGCATGGGTTGCCTTCTTAATTTGTGAGGTTTGGCTGTTGATTTAGCCAATCGGTCTTGCACTAATCTGGGAAGCGATGATGGTGGAAATGAACGGTGCCTGTCTCAGATATGTTTTTTAAGATGGTGATTTTTTAACGAACAGGATTGCATGGTCATTTGCTCGAGAAGGTTTGCCTGTCCGCTTTCTGCATATGGTACCGAGGTCGACGCACCAGAAGTCCTACTCTGTGGTGCAATATTCAACGAACATAGATCACTGATATTCCTCGGAGAGGTCTGATGCTGCCGAGTAAACTCCCGGTTTCCAAGTGAGGGCTCGGAAAAGGTATTTGGCGCTAAGGATGAAGTGCTTGAATCCTTTTCACAGTTACAGTATGACACGTATGGAGTTTTGTCGTTATAAATCGGCATTTCTGGCGGCTGCTGTTGTAACTCATCGAATACATCAGCCCATGTACTCGTTTGGTTGTCTAAAATAGTCAATGCTGCCATCGACTGATCGTCTCCAAAATTATTCACCTGTCCTATAGCTAGAGGATCTGCACTACTCGGTCCTGGAACCGGCATTGATTGAATATCCTGCAGGATGGACGAGAGATTCCGATCCAAAGATGTATCAGATGGAGATTCAGAGTCTAAGCACTGAGGCATTGGTACACTATTCGACGATGTTTCAGGGGATGACGATGGCTCGGCTATCTTGGATATGTTTTTCTTCAGTCTCCACCATCGATTTCGGCAAATGAGAGGCAGGCGGCTAGATACTGATATTCTTCAGGAGTCCAGGGCCTGAGGCGATTCCCACCTTTCGGATCAAGAATGTCGTTGTATCTCTTTGCACACTGATCATCCTTTCGGCCTGGAATGAGCCATGCTAAGGTAGCCTATAGTCAGCAATAAAGCTAGCTCAACGGAATAAATAGTCTCCATTACCAATCTCTTTCCAGGCAGGTCCCAGTCTTCCATATGTGGCCAGCAAGCTCTCGTCTTCCTCCTTTGTCCATCAGCCTTTGCGGAGGGATGGATCTAAGGAATGAAACCAGCGCTTGCGACAATCCTAGATAGGCCTTCTGTCTGTTCTGTGATTCATACTTCCAATCATTTTATATGGTAGTATAAGTTAAAATATTGAATAATGGAGAGAGTCACCTTGTTAGTCCTTCCAGAGAGCCATTTGGATATCTCATTCCATTTCCCGCCCCGTCCTCGTCGGTCGCCAAAACGCTGGATAAGCGTTATTAAACTCTCGTCTTCTGCTTTGCTCCAGGGTCGGCGCGATGACATCCGTATACACTTTAAAAGCTGCCTCGATGACTACAGAGGGGATTCATTTTGTGTCCAAGGGTCAAGGTAGCGCGGGGCAAACGTGTTGGATAGGAGTTGACTCGGCTTGCATATTTAGTCCATTTATCCCGCGACCAATTTATGGATAGCTCTAGATGACATGGTTTAGCACAAAAGCCCCGTCATTACCACACTCCAATCACGTCTGTCGGTCTTAGCTGCATCGACCATGCACGTTATCGATTGGGCAAACTGGATGCTAACCGGGACCGAAGAATGTAATTCGGCGGATACCTCATGTCCTGACTCGGCCCCTACACAGCGGTTTGTGATAAAAGCGATACAATAAACACACTTTCAATGATCGTTCCAGTTTCACATCTATTGTCCTTACCATTATCGGTTGTCCGTCATAATGTCTTTGCACCCTCTTGACCCAGCTACTCCGTGGGAGATTCAGCGGGCGACCAACCTAGTCAAAAAAGCTTACGAAGGTACGGAACTTCACTTCAAAGCAGCTGGTCTAGAGGAGCCTCCAAAAAGGGGTTTGGTGCCTTTCCTTGATACTGAACGTAACAACCACCCTCTTCCGCTTATTTCACGCTATATATCTCTCTGGTATATCAAACGCACACCTCGGCTCTTTGAGGTGATAGTGGATGTGACCGATATCCAGTTTATTCACCATGCTGAATTGCCTCGCGACTTCCATGGACCGGTGAACAGTTTAGAAATGAATGAAGCAGTCCAGGTGGTCATGGCGGACCCTCGGGTAAAGGAAGAGATCAAACGGTTGAAGATCGGTGATACCACAGTGGTCCTTGGTCCATGGGACTATGGTGTAGATGGCGAGGAAACCCAGAGAAGACGCACCCAGATAGAACAGCATCTTGTGAAATCGGTCGGGATGTGCTGTTGCTAACTGTGCTAGGTGTTTATGTATATGCGCAATCCCAAGAACAATGACCCTGACTCGAACCACTACGGTTTCCTGTTGGATTTCATGGTTACTGTCGATCTCTCTGAGATGAAAGTCGAAAAGATCACCCGCCTGCCCTTGGGGTCTGACCAAACTGCCACACCAATTGGCTCGCCTGTACCTCATCGCCAATCTGATCCTTATGAAGCCCAGTATGACCATCGCTTGCAAGAGAAAGCCCCAGGATAACTATGAAACTCTACCAAGTTATTCAGCCTGAGGGAGCTTCCTTCGCAGTCAAAGGTCGCTTGATCCAATGGGGAAAGTGGCGATTCCGTGTGGGATTTGACTGGCGTGAAGGTGAGCAATTGCGCAGATGTAGACTATACTCACTCAGGTGTCTAATTGGCCCGCCAGGGATGACCTTGCATGATGTATCCTTCGATGGGAAGAATACATTTTACAGGCTGTGTCTTTCTCAAATGTTTGTTACTTACGGGGATCCACGAAACCCTATATATCGTAAAGGCGCATTCGACCTGGGAAATGTTGGTGCTGGAGTGACGGCAAATAACCTGTAGCGTAAGCCTTATCCAATCCGCTGTGGAAAGATTTACTCACAGCATACACTAACACTGAAATAGTGGGCTATGACTGCCTTGGCATGATAAAGTATGTCGATGGCTGTGTCGTTGCGCAAAGACGCAGGCCCAGCACCAAGGCCGAACGTTATCTGCATTCACGAGATCGACAACGGAATACAGCGGAAACATACCAATCACCGAACAGGCAAGGCTGCGGTAGTTCACAAGCGGCAACTTATCATCACAATGGCTAATTATGAATATATTTCCTTGTGGTATTCGACCAATCTGGTGAGTTGACATTCGAGACTCGCGCCACTGGCATCCTCTCTACACAGCTCATCAACAAAGACGCCAAGGTCCCATGGGGAACACCAGTGGCAGATGGCGTAATGGCTCCGTATCATCAACATCTGTTTAATTTACGCATCGATCCTGCCGTGGGAGGAGAGCGCAACAGTTTTGCGTTGACTGACAGCGTACCCATGCCCTAGGATGCGTATATCAATCCTTTAGGCACAGGGTACATTACCGAGCAGACTATCCTAAACCGCGCTGGTCCTGTAGGAGATGACATATCTAAGGGAAGGGTCTTCACAATCCTGAATGAGAATGTTGAGAACCCTGTGTCCTTGACACCTATTGGTTATAAACTAGTTTCTCATCGACCCCAGGTAAATATCTCCAGCAATTATGAGTTAAGAGCTCAAGCTCACGATGGCAGATGTTACTCGTGCAACCGGCCTCATGGCACTGGCGCCGTTCTGAGTCCTGTGAGACCCCGATCTGGGTCACCAAGTATAACGATCGCCAGCTCTTCCCCGCAGGAAACTACACAAACCAGTCATTAGGCGGAACGGGCATCAAGTCGTGGATTGAAAAGAGCCGGGATGTGGTTCGGAACGAGGATATTGTGGTCTGGCACACTTTTGGCTTCACCCACAATCCTTGTGTGGAAGACTTCCCAATCATGCTGGCCGAGATTGCTCAAGTACGCCTTGTTCCGTACAATTTCTGTCTTTATAACCCAGCCATTGATGTACCCCCATCCAATCAAGATTCCAATCAGAGCACTGAGTATAAAGCGCCTGAGGGTTCCCAATCCTCAACGCCATCTGATTGCTTTGGTAATTGTCGGAGTTATTAGTGATGTGTTGCTCATAAGCCATGTATGTGATCAAGTTAGGAAGTGAATTGAAGGATCACGGAAGAGATTCTGACAAGTTAGCAGGCAGTGTTTAGCATAATGTAAGATCTTCGACAAGCTTTCAGCTAGATGGCTTTCTAAGCAAGACCGTTGTCGAGTCTAGTGACTCCGGCAAAGGACGGCCATAAGTGTAGGAAAAGGGGTTATTACAAGAGGAGGCGCCGTGGTAGGTGCGCTTGATTGACGATTCTATTGCTTTTCGTTCATTTATCTTTCTCCTATGTATGGGATTGGCGTTCAGGCATAGATTCTACCTCACCGGTGAAGCGCCAGCACACCTAAGCACTCCGTAGTTAGACTCTAGCAGGTTAATAGAATTTCGATTGATTGGTTGACTGGTAGAATGGATCGAAAGAAAAACGTGCAATGAGATTTGCATGGGTATAAAATCTGCAAATGAAAACTATGACATGGAGAACAGAGAAATATACCATCTGTTTTACCATTCTCATGAACCCTTATACAAGGCGGAGTGGTGATCTAAGAGCCTGTCCCATCGTCTGCTTTCCCCTAACGTAAACAAACATAAACGCCAGTCTAAACCCATATCGCAAAAAGTGAGGAAAATAAACATCCGTTGCCTAAGGTCAAACTGATCATAGAGGCGTCTACCGCATGTATAGCGAGTCGCTGGACTCAGTTCTTGGGAATATCCGAGTGTACAACGAATCGGTCGACTCTGTGCGAGGGAATGCCCGCTGGTGAACCTTCGAAACCATACGGTCGGTGTATACACCCTTCGCTGTGCCCCGAACGACGGTCTCAAGATATTCCTTGAAATCCACTGGCCTGAAGTCCGGGTAGAGGTCCTTGGCGACCAGATATCCGAGGTACCTTGCGTTTTCCGGGGTGTTATCGCCCCGAATGCCCCAAGACAACTGATACTCAGCCAAATAGCGAGGGATGAATTTGACGGGATCGAAGGGATAAGTCTCACTAGACTGTCTGGCAGCGAGCACACGAGTGTAGACGCTTTCCTCCGGAATCTATATATTCATCGATCAGCAAATATCGCGATGCGCGACAGCGTCCAAGCTACTTACGTAATTCCTTTGGATCTTCTCTTCGCTGATCTCTTCCAGCAGGTCGTAGATCTCATTCTGTGTCTTAACGGTGTTGTATGCATAGACCATCTTGTTCAATGTCCGCTCGTCATTGATGATTCTGGCAACATAGCGTCCAATGTCTCTTAAATCGGTCAAGCCCATAGGAGTGTTGCCATCGCCGACAATTTCGTTATTGGCGGAAGTCATAGCATAGTCGGCCCGTCCGGACTCCAGGCGGGGATACGAGAGTTGGTACCACCAGCCGACATCGATGATGGTGTAGGGAAGGCGCAGTTGTTTAACATGGTTGTAAACCGTTTCTTTCTATAAGAGGGGAAATGGATGTCAGCGGCTGACGACGGACTCTTCCAAGGTTTTCATCAGTACTTACTTCGTCCCTCAGCCACATGATACCACCGGGGGGTGCCACGGTGATGAAGCCACATGGAACGAATCGACTAACTCCGGCCCTCTTCGCAGCTTTGGCAAGAGGAATTTGATCCTGCTGCTCGGCAGGACCAACACAGCTGATGACAACATCGATTCCCTCGAGTGCTTCGGTAAGAGATTCTTCGGGGCCTTTCAAATCGCATCTGCGGATTTGCATGCCGCGCTCTTGGAGGGAAACGATGGCGGGCTTCTGTACCGACCGGGGGCGGACGAGGGCGTAGAGCTCCTACAGTCACGTGAAGGGGAGATTAGAACAAACGACCGAAGTTGCACAACTCAGAGACCTGGATGGTTTTCTTACAAAGATCGGATTTTCCAAAAGTCCATTTGCAATCGAACCACCAGTTTCACCTGCTGCTCCGACGAGCAAAACCTTTGTTTTCGACATAGCGTTCTCAACGGGTGGCGAGATCAGTTATGAAAAGAAAAAGTGTTGGTTGTGCGATAATTGGGTTGGAGGGGGAACTCGAATGATTGGGAAGTGAGAGAAATCAAACGGGAGTGTGAGAATAAGCAAAGGATTTTTCCGTCCGAATGGTCTCGTTTTATTTCTGTTTCGAGATTGCCTTCTCTTCGAGCGCAGGATTGAAGGGTCAGTCGACGTTATAAGGGCCAGCGTCCCACACACTACCCACACTGCCTTATCCAGATTGGCCGCGGGTGGGTCGACAGTGGATGTTAAGCTCCCCAAAATGAGAGGCGCTTTTGGTGCGTGAGTTGTCTGGGAAGAGAGGGGGTGGATATTCTGCGTGATTTGACGTTCTCGCCGTCCTGAGGGATGCTACCGTGCGATAAATATGGTGAGATCTACGTGAGAGAATCTGGTGACTTTTCTACTTATATATGCCAAGTACCTTTTTTAATCTTTTTTCTCTAACCTTCGTCAGGAGCATCGGAAGGTCGGATCGCAAAGGTTTGGGTTTTGCCCTCACTTACGGGCCGGTGGCTTCGGGAGTCCCAACCCCAATACGGTTACGTCATTTTTTGCCCACGGCTTCCCGGCTTAAAGACTGGACAAGTGACGATATCTGTTCCACCCTTTGGTGATGGTTTCAGTTATTCACCATCATTATGATACTTCCCTCTTCGCTGGTAGACTCGACCTCCCCTCAAGCCGAGGGGTTGCAAACTGACCTCCTAAACTCAACTTGATAATCCCCTAATGGCCAAAATCCACGCATTTCCATCTCCTTTTTCCACATCACTAGATTCGCTCTAAATGCGGGGGAGGGAAGCCCCAATTCCCCCGGGATTTCCAAAACAGGGCCTTTTCTGCATCTCTCAATTCATATTATCAGGTCTCCTTTACCCAATGATCAAACCCCCACGTCAGAGATCTTCGGATCTGCGTGGCGGCCTGGTGAGCAGGAAGGTGTTTGTAACCCTGGCAGAATGACGACATGGGACATTGCTGGGTTTGAGCCCGGCTGTCATTGGTCCGTCCCCTGTTGCAGATGGAGTAGCTGTTCCACGGTTGCATATAGTTGTCCCCTTCGAGCCTGTAACTTTTCAACAAATTATCATGGTCGGCGGCTACTGGAAATTGACCCAGTAGTATTGTAAGTACATTCACTACCAATGCAACGCTTACCCACTTAGCAACGGAGCCCCGAGCGTACTTCTGATTGACGCATGACAATGCAATTCTTGTTCAATCTGATTGCTTTCCCCTTTGATCGGCTGGTCACCCTGCTGATATTTATGGGTTTCCCCCCCGCAATCGTTGAGCTCCAGCTAATATTCTGGAGCTTTGAGTTTTATCTTAGAGATCTTATGCGTGTGCGATAGCATCCAGCAGTGCATAAGCGGCTCATGAACCATTTGTGGAAACATCGATAAAGTAAATCAATGTTGATTTACTGGGGTAAACTTTACCGGCGAGACTTCGTTGCCTCCCGAGTACATGAAAAAAACTCTTTAAGGCAAACAAGTCAATATGCACTGTTGAAAACTAAGTCTGCGGCTCTCTTCAGGTATCCGAGGGTTCGGCACATGGATAAGCGTTCCTGACGGCGGGTTCCAGCCACTCAGACTTCGTACTTTTCAAGGCGGATCTAAAACTAGCCGTATATACCTAAGTACTAGTAGTCTGTTGGGAACCTGGCTTTAACCTCACTTTCTGTTTCCTGCATTGAGTTGATCCTCGTGACCATAATTGGCAGTCCAGCCTCGAGACCACCCGCCTGTAGAAATTCTGAAACTGTCATTCTCTGTTTGTTTTGGATCAAATTTCCTCCGAAGTCGAGGCACCGGACGAGATTCCTCCGGGAGAGGGCAGGTGCCCCGAACGGAAGATGTAAGAATCGTGGCAATACACAAGCTGGCCAATGGCCCCGACCGAGAGTCGACCGGGTGGATTAACCGCTAGAAAACAAACCGCGTTCGGCTAGCCGCGATTAAGCATGGCTCAGGATGAATACTAGTGAGGCATGTGAGAAATAGAAATTGAATTGGTCTTTTCCTTTTCCGACTCTAGTCCCCGATCTGCAGGCTCCAGTTTCCCCCTCCTTCCGCCAATAATACGCCTAACTATGCACACACTCCTCCTAATGTCATGTAATAAATTGATGATACTATGACAGGTTTGAAGTATGGTGAGAATGTCGGTGTGATACGAAAGGAATAATTTTCACAGCCGCGGGTAATTGTCCAGAAAAATCCTTTTCCGGTCGCCGAGTGGTGAGATTTCTTTCTGATATCCCTACATACCAACTCTCCCGAGTTCCTACGTAAACAGGTTACTAGTTCATAATAGTTACCTTGGTAGTTTACTCTAGTACCTCAATAGCTAGCAAGCCTCAATACATAGGAAATTCTAGATCACTGACCATAACCAAGAAAGGCTGATGCTGGATCTGTGGTGCGGCATAGCATGAGAAACAACAGTGGTATTATCTCCAAATGTATCTACTCTTCGTCATCGAGGGGGGAACCTTAACCCAAAATTTACCTTCAATAAGTCAGAACCAAGATCCGAGGCAGAAGTCTTAATTTTAAGAAGCATCCATTCGTCACGACCTTTCCTTGAGAGGCAAGATGGATGATGTCGACGAACAGAGATTTTCCCCGCTCTCCGCAAATACCCCATAAAAAAGATTTTCTCTCCCCGCAGCCGACACCTGACATCGTAAACAGTACTGTATGTACATCGTCATCGATTCGATTTGCCATCACCCCTGATCCTTTTCGAGTCGGTAGAAATTATTCTACGGTGTAGTGGTCTCGAAGCTTATGATCTGCATTGATCACGCTTGACTTGAACGGTACCATCTACTAAAATATAATATGCTCTGGGGCAACCCTCAAATCCATATATATCTCTCTCTCATACCATCTTCCCATTTGAAACACATAGAGGTCTAGTACATACTTATGTACCTATCAAACAAAAGGATCTTGACTTCGGGATAATCCAAGCTTCATTTGTTAAAATAATGGTTGTAGCCCCTTGTGTGGTATTATTAAAAAAAAAAAAAAAAACTTATTACCACAGCCAGGAGGAGGAGGTGCAGATTGACGCTAGCACAGCCTGAGGCTTCTCATTTCCAAGAGCGCGATACGCGCATGAGAAAAACCCCTCATTGCTTACTAGTACCTTGTCATGCAACGTGAAATTCAGCACTGTCTATTAGAGATACTTTCGAATTGATATCGTCCATCTGTGAGTATGTATGGACTACTTGTAGTGAATATGGATGTTGGGATGGAACTTGCGACCAACCGGCTCTTGGTTTACGGCATTGGGAAGGCACCCGGTTGATCAATGATTGCCTTTCAATCTTCCACAAACGAATACCATGGCCCGTTCACGTCCTCATTACATAACAGCCGTATGGATGTTCTCAGGCGATGCATGCTCATTGATATCCTGTTAATTCGAGTTCTCCCGTGTCCTGTCGACGCGACCCATTACCAAATGAGAAATGTCATCAGAGCGTCACACCATCGCATCTTCCGGCTTACTGCCAACTCCCGACAATGACAGCGAGGCCCAGAGCTGTTCGCATAGTCGCAGTGAGATCCAAAGCCTCTTTAATTCCTATGGAGCCGTGAAGCCAAACCAGGTCACTCTGATCGGTTAGTCGACTGGTAGCAATAGCCAATCATCGGACCAGAACTGATTTATTGCTGAAGCAATCGGAGGGGCGATCAATACTGGTTTGATGATAGCATCCGGGAATGCCCTTGCACAGTACGGTGTTGTTGATATAACGTGATAGGTGGTGTTAACGGCTCCTTAGGGCTGGAGTAAGTATCTCAGCGTGCGGTTCCCTCTGCTGATAAGTCATAATGTTGACCTGTCAACCTGCTAGCCTGCATCAGTCCTCATCTCATATACGATCGTTGGCATCTTGGTTTACCATGTCCTATGCGCTCTGGCAGAGGTGGTTTCTCCAGGGCCGTCGCCGGTTGCCGATCATGCTGCGAGGTTTTGTGACCCCTCTCTTGGTTTCACAATAGAGTGGATGTGAGCGGATCGGTATCCCTCTTATAGACTCCACTAAATCTGGAACACAGATACTGGCTGAAGCTTTTGGTGGTCACGCCTAACCACTTGACAGCGGCAGCTCTAGTAGTGTCATACTGGTTGGATGCTGACGTCGTCAATCCTGGAATATGGATAACTGTGTTTATGGCAATCATACTCGGTGGGAACTACTGGGGTAGTCGGTTTATGGGCCAATATGAGTTCATTCTCTCATCCTTCAAAATCACGGTGGTTCTCGCGCTTATGATCTTTTCCCTAGTTCTAGCGCTAGGAGGCGGCCCTGATCACGATAGAATAGGATTTCGATATTGGGGAACTCCAGGTGCCTTTGCCGGCGATCATACAGCTATTGGGATACTTCGCGCCATATTCCGAACGATGCCTTCCGCCACCTTTGCATATCTAGGAAGTGAATTGATCGGGATCAATATTCTGCGTAGGAAGAATACGCGAAAAACAGCGCTGCACGCAACCAAGCTAACGTTTTACCGCATACTGGTTATCAACATTGTTACCGTTACCTTCATTGGGATGTTGGTTCCATTTGACGCCAAGGAGCTGGAATTCGCTAGGGTAAAAGCAAGCTCGAGACTATATGCGAGAGCTACCTTTACCGGAGACCAACAGCCTGCCGCTTCCTCAGCAGCGGCCTTTGTGGTGGCGGTCCAGATAGCCCACATAACTGTGCTGCCGCATATTCTCAATGTGTGTTTCCTGTGGTTCATATTATCTGCTGCAAACCATTCCCTCTATATGGCAACGCGGACTCTTTACGGTTTATCCCTCTCACGAAACGCTTTTGCCTTTCTGTCTCATCTCGACCGTAGAGGGACTCCGATCTACACACTCTTCGTATGCTCGGCGGTCGCCTCGTTGGCATACTTGAACATCCAGGAAGATTCAAAGTGTCTCTTTAACCACTTTGTGAACTTGGTTACCATGTTCAGCATTCTCACCTGGATCTCGATTCTTGTGGTTCACCTGACGTTCGCAAGGTCCCGAAAGGCAAAAGCTGAGGCTAACCCGCTCACCTTCACTGCTCCATTTGGGGTCGCTGGATCATGGGCTGCCCTGGCTTTCTGTATTTTTATTACGGCAATGAGGGGGCTTGACACAGTGGACTCTGATGGTGACCCTAGCAAAGTCGATTACAAGGCCGTCATCACATCATACATTGGTATCCCGTTGTATCTATTGCTGTTCATTGGTCACAAGGTTTTCATTAGAAACAGAAAGAATCAGCAGGATACGGGATCAAGTGAAATAGTGTCATAGTCACGAGGAGAGATAGTAGTTGAAGCAGACGTAGGTCTCTGTCAGCCTGATATAACAGAAAACCCAACAGAATGACTTACGTTCCAGTCTCATAAAACCCTAGTTGCATTTGCAATAAAAATCCGACGAATCTGTACAACTACACAAGTCCTTCCACCTTCCCCTGGACGTACGATTTCCGCTCTCTATACCCACTATCTTCCCCTTTTATGATATCTTCTTCCTCCAACTTATTCAGAAAATCCAATACCCAGTCCTGACAATTCCACCCATGAATATCGCTTCGAACGGGAAGCTCCCTGGCGATAGCCTTCAGTATGCTAGTCATGGTGCTTTCCACATCAAAGAGGAATACAATTTCGTCTAGACCACTGAGACACCGAGCATCCCCGTATTCAGGCTCATAGCGGAATCGACCATCGGAGCCTCGGACCTGAAGCATGATTTTGTCGGATTCATGAGGTTCGTCGATGAAAATCGCCCAGTGCTTGAAGACACCTTCGTCGGTTATTATGGCGACGTAGACTCCGACCATTGTGGTTTGACTTGGGTCTGGTCTTGAGATGAAATGGTATTAACTAAGGGGGTTTTTTTTTGTAGTAAATAAGTTATACTAGGTTAACCCTACCGTGGTTTGTGTTGAAGGTATGTATAAAGGAAAATAGACAAGTGGGTCTTTTTGGAGTGAATATGAAAGATTGATGTGAGGAGTTGATATGGAACGAGGCTGAGGCTGGATCATAAGTTGTACTACGATCACGACTAGAGCCTGAGCAATTAGTGAACTTATAGGGAATGGATAGTAGTTACACCTGGGGCCGTCCATGAAATGAAGAGTCTGCGTGAGGCACTCAGGCTCCAGACACGGTCACTGGAATATAAACCCCCCCCCTCGCCCCTCTCTTTCCCCTCCTTCCATTCCTCATCCCTCACCTAGTACTCTCCCATCTCCGATGCATCGCCATCTCTCCAGTAACAAATCCGGTCCTGAAATATCTCATATTCCTCCTTTTCTTCATATACAAAAGACACAAAAATTGTGGTAGTCGACATACTTTCTCTGAGACTTTTTGATATACGTATATTCTGTCGCATCGTGTGTTTACTTGTTTTGGGGAAATATGGAAAGCGAAGGGAAACTCTGGTCTTTGGGGAATGGAAGAGTCTGAGGCGGAAAATGACATTCGATGTTCGTATGTACATTTATAACCACTCTCAGTATTAGGAATATGAACTTGGCGTATTAATTAACTTAAGTACATGATCGATCTAGCATTTGCTCTTCTGTTGTTCTTAACCTATCTCCAAATCCGCATGCATACCTACTCAACACTGTGCGTTCTCGACATATATGGACAAGCAGCCTTCTTGCCCTCCTCATCACTAGCAGCGCGAGATTCCTCTGTGACGGTGATACGTGTTGTCCGAATGATCCCACCGGCTTCGAGTATACCCTCATGGAGATATTCCATTGATTCAGTCCCTTTCTGCTTCTCCCTTCTGATGTTGTTACTCATCTTGTAGGAGGCGCTACCATAAGCGGACATCCCAGTCCCACAGTTCTCCGAGTATCCACTCGGCTTGGTGCTCGTAGTCTTCATACCCATGGCTCTTTTGATTTTGCGGATGGCACCGGTCTCCTTGATAATCTTGGGAATGCAGGGTAAACATAAAATGAAAAACCCGCACGTCATCTCAGCCATGGAACAGAGAACGACGGGAGCCAAGCTGTACAGCGGGTCGGCTGCGCTACGATGCATAACTATCGTGTCCAGTCTAAGTGCTGCGGAAGCACACGCCCTGTAGTGTCGTTGATGTTAGTCTGAGGGGGTTGACTTGCAGGGTGTAGGGGGGGGGGGCAGAGACTTACAGTACACCGAGACTAAAGACGAACGAAACGCCCAGCCTCTTCTTCCACGTCATCTTCAATGTCCAAATAACAGGCTGTGGCAATAACAACATGATCACGTCGCATGTAAGATGGACGCTAGCCGAGGCCATTTGGATTTTGTACAGGTCGACACATTTCCCCGGGATGGTGAGGTCATATATAGCTTTGTGGGGAATGCACTGGAGATTCAAGGCAAGTATTATGGCAACGCCTGCGATGACCTGGATGCCAGTTGTGACCATGCATCCCCACCAGAAAGCGGTTCTGGATCGTAAGCCTTGCGGGGCTAACAGTCGACACCACTCCACGAGAATGGCTATCTTCAGGAACGGAAGGACAAATGAGTAACAGACGCCGAAGACAAAGACATACTGTGTGTATGGGTCAGATGCTGAATTCTGGGAAGCCTTAGCTTGGAATCACCTACATAATTGGTAGACATGAAGTCCCGAAGACGGACATCCCATTGGTGAACAAAGTAGCCAGGCGTCTTGACCATGGCAAAGGCAGTATAGGTAGGTCCCCAGTAGCACCCCTGGGATTGAATTGTCAGTGTCGCTCTATTACTTTTGGCCATAAGGGGAAACAAACATATGCAAGGAAAACCAGGACTGTGGAGAAAGCAGCGTCAGCATCTAGGTGCGGAAGGTAGGTATCAGGGTACGAAAGGACTCACTTTCTTCAGGTTGTATCTTCCTCAAAAGATAAACCCTAGCATAGATACGCATCAAGAAGCAAATTGTTGTGACTGCGACGCACGCAGCCAGGACGCCTATGGCAAGTGCATTTCGGTTTGGTGGATTGTCGAAGTTAGGAGTAACTCCATCTGGTGGCGGATGAGCAGGCCCGTCTAGGTCCATAGTGATTTAAACAAGCACCTTGTAAAATATGACAGAAATTCCAAATAGAATGGTGGCAACTGCTCCATATGACGCTCCTCCACACTGTAGTTGTCTTCCGTAGGCTTGAATGACATGTCAAGCTCCGCTCTATATCTAAACAAGTAGCTTCTTATCTACAACTGTAAAGGAGAACTCGCTGCGGTTCTTGAGCACGGTGCCGCCTTTGTCTTCTACATGTGGGAAGAGCATTTGGAGACTATTCGAATAAGCCCTAGATCTGATTTGTGGCAGATGATAGTAGAGTAGACTGCATTATTTGAGTGCGCCACCAGCCTGAAGCCGCCGAGCCAGCAGCTGCCCCTAATACCATATCCTACAAAGGAGAGCCATCTCGATGGGATACAACCCCTGTTGGGTTACAAATAGTAGCCCCAGAATCATTCCTGTTGTAGTATAGAGCTATCCTACAGACAATGCGCACGAGAAATATTATGTGTCATTAGCTTTTCCCTGGAGCCTCACATGCCAAGTAAGGTTTCGGCACTCGCCATACAACAAAGCCCTGCGGAGAGTTTTATATGCGAAAGAGATACGCTAGTCAGCCGTGGCGGCTTGGCTGCAAAGTATCGTAACTTATAAATTTGGATCATAAGCATATCCTCCCGATCTCTTTGACAGGTCAGAAGTTTTATTAAAGAAAGTGAACCTTGGCGTAATTAGAAGCAGCTTTCTAGCCCTGTTCCTAACCCCTTTCTAAGAAGGCACGTATACCCCGTATCTAGATAGAAATCTCTCGGAGTGCTCGCTTGCTGTTGAAGAAAAGGATCACTATCCCTGAGATAATATGCCGCTTTGCTTATCGACAGAGTAATAATCGTCGTGGATGGTGCACCGTGCGGGGCTTAGAGAGCGAACTACCAATGTTTCTCCCAGGCACCCCACCAAGACTACTCGTGGCAGTGCTGATAGCACAGTGCCTATATGCCGTGTCTTGATGAGTAGAATGGACCGAATATTGATCTTACACTGTAGCACAATATCAGGCCATATGTCACTTTACTCTCAAAACCTCGGTGCTGGCAGTATGCTTACTGACCCCTCCCATACTAATATATGGCAGGGAGGCGGGCCTCGTTCCTTTCCTTATATTACGAGCTTACACCTTTCGATTCCTACCCCGTGCTAAAATAACTTGCTATTTCTTCTTTCTCACTATCTCCAGGATACATGCTTACAGTTATGGCAAAACAGGAGGTCTTTTACCTACACCCGCTTGGATGGGAGAATGATCCGGATGTGGAAAGATTCAAAGTCTCTACCCTTGACTATTTGACAGCTCGCACGTATAATAACTACGCCTTGTTCTTCAAACTAGATGATGCCGATAAGCCGAAGGCAGTTGATGTGCTACAATCAGGCCTCGAGCGTACCCTTAGTCAAGCACGACACCTTTGCGGGACAATTGAGAAGGATTCCACAGATGGCTATTCATTCGTGAAGAGAAAGCATAGTACGGTCCGATTCTTTGTCCAGTGGCTTGACTCCCTCGAAGGAAACTTCCCGTCCTTCGATGACATAGAAAAGTCCCACTTCAGTGCCACCACACTGGGCGATCTCAACCTCTGGAGTGTTCCTCCCATGACTTATGGTGAGAAACCAGAAGCCCACCCTGATAGGAGCCCGTTAGTGGCGGCTTTCAAGGCCAACTTCATCCGCGGAGGGCTAGTCTTTATTATGCACCATCACCACTACGCCAACGACGTCTTGGGTTGGGCTGGCTTCACCCGTCAGCTGGCCGAGAACTGCTATGCCATTGTCAACCAGACACCATTTCCCGCTTGGGACATAGCATACCTGGATCGCTCGCGCCTTACCAAACCGGAAGTGCCCGAAGAAGCAAAGGTAGATGGCCCGGCTTCACCTGAGCGTCATCCAGATCACACAGTAGCCGTATCGCTTCTTTTCCACCTACCGAAGAGCAAGGCAGCCGAATTGAAGCAGCTGGCAATGCCCACTGATGACTCGTGGATCTCAACCTACGACGCTTTCTCAGCTTTCATCTGGCGTACCCTTTCGCGACTCCGCGCCCCTATCTTCAAGCCGGACATGTCATCTAGCATATTCTGGTCCGAGGCAGTCGATATGCGCCGTCGTATGGACAATCCCAAAGTCCCACCACGGATTCAAGGCAACATCATGTTCGCGGCCTTCTCTCCCACGGCACCGGTGCCACATCCCACCCTGGCGGAGGTCATATCCGAGTGGCCGTTTACTAAGCTGGCATCATATATCCGGCAGCTCACCAATAGTGTTACTGAAGAAAGCCTCAGCAAGGCGCTTGATATAATAGCAACTATTCGTGACAAGGCAGCTATGAATGTACGAATTAACTCGTACCCACCCATGTCCATACTTCAGACTGATCACCGCGACGCCAACATGAGCGCAGCCAATTTTGGCTTTGCGACACCGATTACATATCGCCATCTTTTGGACTGCATAAGCGAGGGTGTCATCATCATCTACCCGCCGCGCACCATGGAGCCTGGCTCCGACGAGGGTTGCGAGTTTGCCATCTCGTACGAGAAGAGTTTGGCGCAGGACTTGATCAATGACTCTGAGTGGAAGAAGTTCTTCGAGTACAGGGGAGTAGATGCTGAAGATGCAGCCCACTCGAAGCTCTGCAAAGAGTAAAGGGCTATGACAAGGTCTGAGTAGCTCAGGTATATGAAACGTGAGAATTAATAGTATGTAGTATTGCTACTATAAAGTAGTTTCTGAATGGAACTGCACGGCTGTGTCATTGCATATTGGGTGTGAGATTATGCAACCTGTAATGATCATTTATACTAGTGTTCCATAACTATAAGATTAATGTTGTACGTTACAGTTATAATGTTAGTTGAAGTGAACAGGGGCTGCAGCTTCAGCCGTGACCCGCAGACTTAGAAGATCGGGACGAGAGTAATGTCCAACAGTGTCGAGGTTCTGCTTCGCCTTGATCCGATCTTTCAGATCAATATCCGCATACACGATCGCTTCCACTCCAGGATCCAATGGTTCTGTCAACGGAGCTCCATCAGGGCCAAATATCACCGTAAAACCTCCCCCGGGAAGCTTCATCCAGTCAAATTCCGGCAACTTGGACCTGGCCTTCCCCTCCTGCGTCTGGATTTGAGTACAAACAAGAACAAAGCAAGCACCTTCCATGGCCATAACCTGACTGAAACGGCTGCTTGCTTCGTCAGAAGTATGGTAGGTCCAAGATGGAATGTTCCACAAGCAAGGCCAGCTTGCGACATGGATGTCAACGTTTTGAGCATACTCGTAGTACCGTAGAAGTGGCTGGGTATGCTCCCAACAATTGAGTCCTCCAATGTTTCCAAAAGAACTGGGGGCTACTGTTTCAAGGGAATCTGCTTGCCCGTCTCCCCAATAGCTCCTCTCGACATGAGTCGGCTTGATCTTGCGTCGGTGGTGGACGATTGTACCAGTAGGGTCGATAAATGACTAGAGAATCTGTTATTAGAAGACACGAGCATAAAGAACAACTTGTGGTAGGTATACCTGAGCAATGTACAATGATCCTCGGTACCGTTCACTATAGCCCAGAACGATAAACACACCCGCTTCGCGGACAGCCACCTTGATGCGTTCCATCTCCTCCGATTCTCTTTCCATGGAGTTTTCAAAGTATTCGTTCATGAAGGACACGTTATCAATGGCCGAGTTGGCCCAGATGCTCCTTGTCAGTAGTTAATCAATAGGGTGTACCGCGATAACAGCTTATTTTGTTGCTTACCATGGATAACCAGGGATGAATACCTCCGGAAAACCGACCACATTGGCACCATTTTTGGCGGCGTCCTTGATCAATGAGATGACCTTGGAAACCCCGCCCTGTAAATCATTCCAGACAGGTTCAGCTTGAATCGCAGCAACCTTGGCCTTGGAAGTCATTATGTACTTGGGAATGTAGTAATCGGTTTAACAACGATAAGCCCTGAAGTGAGAAATGACAGAGAAGTGAAAACAAGCTTAGAGTCAGGCGACATAATCGGTTAATAATTATATATATGCAGGCTCAAATCCCACTTCAGGGTTACATTTTGGTGGGATATCATGCCAATTAATGCCGGGATCCCTGCGCGCAGTATGCATGTCCCCACGAATCAGCGCATTTGGGATGGTCAAGATTCTTCATCATTCCAGTGTCAGGAAACAGGTGGTTTGCCAATTAGATGGGTACCTGGAAATTTATTTAACACCATCATCCATCCAGCCTTCCCTGCTGGTAACTTGTCATGTCTGAGGTTTAACCTTTAAGGCAGCCAGGCAATGAATATGACTGCCTTTGTCTCTGTAGTTCTGCTGTGTCGATATTGGTCTATAGACAAATTCTACTTGATTCCTTACCTTGGATACTCCTGTCTTTAATTTGATCTCAAGATTTTTATACACATAATGGTATACTATAACGTTCTGTTTCGTGTCAATCAATGGTCAACTGGTACCAAGGGCTTGTAATAGTCATGTGAGCATGGCCTAAGAAGCCGCCTCATTCATTCTCGAAACTCCATTTGCAGCATGCATTGTCCACATCAAATCAAGAAGGTCTTGCATTCTAGCGATGGGCTCGAATGAAATAGCATCGAAATCTCCTCGTGCAATGCACGAATCAACACTAATTCGGCCACAGCCCCGAAGGAAGCGGGGCGGTTAAGCGATGGGCTCTGGGCGCCAATCCCAGCCGGGAATTATCGTCTTGGTTATCCTTGGCGAGTCAAGCGAAGTGATGAGGATACGGTATATCACCCGGCTTGGCGCCTCGTTTAACAGAGAGGATATGTTGCCAATGCTTGGGGGTGAATTACCGCGTTCGAAACGATATCGAATATGTCAACCTAAAGCTACGTCAAACTAGCGGTTGTTATATTACCCATTACTCCCTCCCCTTAAGAGGTTTTCGAGGCTTGGGATGAACTGTCGAGTGATCGGTTTTTGTTGTCTCCTTTCCG